GTCAGGCAATCTTCTCATAACTCAGGCACTTTCTAAAGAAATAACTGGTTTTAAGCACTTTAAGTTACATGCTGTATTGCCTGTGGCTCCAGGAGCCATGTTAGTCCCAGAGGAGACCTGGTGCCATGGTGTTGGGGTGCCTTGAGCTGTTCCAGAACCCATGAGTGGGGGACAGAAATGATTTATGGTTGCAAGCCTATTTTCCAGGTCATTTGTGTGATAATCTGTGTTGCCCTGCTCGAAGTCAAAAGATTTAAAAGCATTTAAGCCCTGGAGGCTTGCCCTGGGCCAGGAGTATGACTGCTTTTGAATGTTGTCATGACTGGCCCTGAAAACTTGTGGGCTGAATTGTCTCATAGTAACTCATTCAACTGGTAACTCCCTGTGTTTCTCAGGAAATCATGGAGCAACCAGAATTCAGACCAACAGAAGATGCAGAAATAGGGCTGGAGACTGAGGAGTAGCCAGGCAGTTGGTCTGACAGGCGTGCATAAGGATGAGCCACTAAAGGCAATTGTAATGTGGAGGAGGCTTGGTCAAGAGGTGGGAAGCCTGCTGAGTCCCTGGATCCTGCTGCCTGTCTGGGCACAGGCTGGATGCCTAGAGCTGCAGACTTGTGCTTCTCTCCATCCTGCCTTGACAAATGCACACAAGACCAGGAATGTTCACTTCTTCATCTCCATATGGCATCATGCCATCTTGGTGGAAGACGTGTATCCATATGCAAGGCCTTCACTAAACTGGAGGGTGCTGTCTTAGGTCATCTCTGTCCCTTGAATTGCATCCTTGTTTGGTTTCTTTCTTCAGTTTCCATAGAAAAGTTCTAGAAGATGTCAGCAGTGATGTTGTAGTGATGTTTGCCCTGGTGCATCTCAGAAGCAAGCCCACAAACTCAAACTTTCAAAGCAAGTGGTAGAGAGACTTAAAGATGCAGTGGGGTGCAGTTGAAAAACTTCTAGGTCACTTGTACAGAAACTTGTGTGATGGCCTTAACCTTTGAGATGTGCCAACAATATCCTGAACTGATGGTGCCTAATTAATGAATGTGTGTGTGTTCCACCTCCTTGGGACTTAAAGTGTGCCTTCCAAGAAGACCCGAGTTGTGAGACTGCTGGACATCATGCAGTCCCACAATTAATGCTAGAAGTTCATTTAATGGGGGTTACTGATTACTAAACTGAGTCTAACACGCAATTGTACTGTTTGCTCTGTTTTCCAGCCAATCCAGGATTTAGCAAGCAGCCCACCAGAGAGCTCATTCCAGAAACTGGCACCCAGTGAACATAGGTACACCTTATTGAGGGAAAAAGATGAACTTTAAAAACTTGAAATAATCTTGCAAGCCTTTCAGACAGCAGCATTGACTTCTGTGTGGTGGAAATAGTAAACCTATATTTTCATAATTCTATGTGTATTTTTATTTTGAATAAACTGAAAAATTTTTTTCTCCCCAGGCTTGTAAATACATTTGTTTGGTGGGTCACTCTGTACAGCATCTTTCAACCAGTATGCTCTTAATGCTATAGTAAATAGCGGAGACCCAGCCAGACTCTTGATCTAACTCTGTTCTGTAAAACTTTTATAATCCAAATGAAGGTATCCTTGCCAGAGACATGCTGTTAACTTGCACTATCCCATTAAATAGGACTTTTGGGTTGTTTTCTGTGTAACCTTGGTAGTATGTGCTTCTTTCTTTTTCTTCTTCATGGTAACAGCTATCCTGGTAATCTATTTCTTTGTCACATTTTCCTCCAACTTAGAGGGTCTTCTATTCTGGATACTTGGGAGGGGAATAAATTAAAGTTTTACAGAATCTCGTGTGGTGCTTTACTGGGTGTAAATGTCTAAGTAGTTTAACGATTCTGTTAAAATACCAGGCAAGGAAAGGAGAAGCTTTAATGATAATGGCTGTGCTTGGAATGAAAGGGCTGTGTTGGCCCAAGTCCCTGGAATTACCGAGGTTGTTATATTATCTACACAGTTGTGTTAGAAGCATATGAATGTTGGAAACCCTTTAGAGTAGGCATGGACTGGAATGCCATCTTAGCTTTGTCAGTCTTCAGTTAATTCCTGTATGTGTGTTAAGATTTGGTTGGTTTGGGGTTTTGTTATTTGGGTCCCTGCCTTCCTGGCAGACTTCCCAACCAACCATTGCATGTTTTCCTGTTGTTCTTTTTGTCTGGCTTGTGCCTTATTTATTGCAAATTTGAGTTCTGCTCAAGAAGGAATTACTACTGTGGGCTCTTCTGGTGTGCATAATACCTGAATATGGGCTTCTCTCAATGAATCTTCAGGCTGTTTGGTGAGATGAACATACAGAAACTGTAACATGGAAAAAATATCTAATTTGATGTGCAATTTGGAGATGTAATTAGTTTTGTACAGTACACTTACTGCAGAGAGTGTAGGTCCATGGGTTGTGCCCCCAAAATTTATTGTCCTTAGAAGCAAGCTTGTCCTTTTGGACAGGTGGACCACTGGGTTCATTTTTACTTCAGCAAGTTAACAGTTGAGGATTCCTTCTTCCTTTCAGCTAGATGCCACCTATTCAATTACTGACTTAAGACTGACCTGGTCTGGTGCAGCTGTAGCAAAAGTGGATCCCAAGAGATCCTGTTGCAGCAACAGAACATGAGCTTTCTAGGGAGTGATTGAGGAGAGAGTTGCTAGGACCAACCACCACTGAGCTACAGCTAACTGAGCAGCACAGAATTGGTAGCTAAAACAGTGTTCCAAGATTTTGTTTCCAGGTGTACTTTTTTGTTAGTTTTGTGAATCTGCATTTTAGAGTGCACATTTGGTGCTTGAAAGCCAGCTCTTCTCCTGGTCCGTTCTCCATCTTGTGCCAAATCAAACGGTTTTGGCAGCAGAGTCATATACCACCTTCCACTTGGCGTATAAAGATGTGAGCAGGGTATGGTTTTAAGGCTGCCACTATCTGCGGGGGGTGCTACAGAACAACTGGAGTATGTTCAGGTACCTGAGATTTTAGTTAATTCCTGCATGATACCTACAAGTACTCATTTTGCTCCTCTGAGGTTCCTGTTTTATATTGGGATTCTTATTTATAAATGCTGTTTGATGGAAGAAGTCTAAACTTCTCTTTCTGGAGAGAGGTATGAGCTCATCATATACCCAACAGTCCAGTGCTGGTGCTTTTCAGCTAGACAGTGAAAGAGATGAATGACTTCCCCTGCCATTTCTTTAATCCAGGTTTGCCTTTCTGGGTAAAGACTTGTTCCCAGAGCTGTGGCATCCCAGCACTAGACAATAAGATGTAATAGTTTTATGACAGTTACACACTCAAGTGCTTCCACTGTGTATTTCTTGGGAGTTGGACTCGATTCTCCTGGGTTCTTGATGACCACTGACCTGGTTGTACAACTGGCAAGTGATTTTGCTATTTGCAGGCAGAAGGTTAACAGCTAAAGTCTAGGGGCCGCTTGCCTACCTAACATGATGTTGAAACAGGGCTTGAGCTTTTGAGTACCTGATGATACCAAGAGTTTGCCAAAAAAACCAAGTGTTTTAAATTGAGCCCTTCAGCTCTGATCAGCTGCATCAAAGGTTTTAACCATTTGGTGCTGAGCTAGCCATTCCCTTCAACACTTGTTATGGCTTTCATGGGAAATTGTCAAAAATGTCTTATCCCCGGGTGGGTGGAACAAACCCATTTTTAGTTGAATTTAAGGAGTCCAATTCTGAGCTAGCACATGTGCACGAGTTACCAGATGCATGCGACATTTTAAGAATTTGTGTTCATTTCAGTCAATGTATTTCAATAGCTGAAGCATGTTTGGTAACTCAGTCTAGGATTCTTAGATCTTAGTAATGGAGGTATTTTAATAACATTTGTAAAGGATTAATCTTTTAGGTGCTTACAAGAAATAAACCCCGATGTTCTCAGTAAATGCTACAACCAGTCCCATAGGCAGAAAGTTTTATTTGGGCTGAAAGAATCATGTATATCTTACATTTCTTCTAATGTACCTAGCACTTCAGCTGCTAGTTTGGTTACTCAGATACCCATGTTTCTTCACATATGTAAATAACCCACCAGGATTTTAAAAATCGGAGCTTATTTAAGTGTCTCGAGTCTCAAGTGTATACACAATGTTTTGAAGTTGCTTCCTTACAGATGCAAGGAGGAAGAATAGTTTTTATGCTGGATGTTTCATACAATGAATGCATACCAAGCTCAGTTTGTATAAGCTGCATCAGGAATTCAGGTTTATGAATTCAGATTGTCTTGGCATTAGTCCAGTTGGGGGGGAGAAGGTAGAGTCCATGATGTCTCTGCTGTGGCTGCTGTCATTTCACTGCACAAGGCTTTGAAGAGTACAGTAGGAAAGCAGACAAAGCTTTTGAAAATCATACAAAGAATCAACCACAGTTTCTGATGAAGAATACTTCTTAGTTTCTTCCTTTAGATGCAGAAATGCCGTACCAAAGGAATGAACAGCCTTAGTATGAAATTGTTACAAGCTCATTAAATGTGTTTGCATACAAAGTCAATGCATTTAAAGAAAAAAGTGCTTTTTGCCTGACAGGAGCAAATGAGCTGACTGACTTAGGTCATGTTTTCCACTCCAGCTGATTTTACAGATGTAGGCACTGTGGCTTTAACACATGCACTTCTGACAGTGTTTGTGATTACTTGTGAAAACTAGTGTTGCACATGTTGCTTCCCTGAGCCTCAGACCCACTTAAGAGACACAGTGCTCTGACTGACAGCAATTTCATTCACATTTTAAAAGTAACATGGAAGAAGCATTCAGAAAAAAGATATTTGTGCTGTAACTAACAGTTGCTTACAATGTCTCCAGGCTCAAAACCCCTTCATCTGTCATGAGGAGGCATTTATTCCCAATGATGATATCAAAGTACTGGTTACAAAAGGGAACTATAGCTGTAGCACGCTTACTTTGACAGTGTTCCCTGTCAGGGAAGACTTATCACTGAGCACTGACTTCAGCGTTCACCTAATAAAATTAGGGATGACCTGAACAAACTAAAATCGTTAAAAAGCAGCTTCCCAACCTCAGTTTCTGTTCCCCAAACAGTAGCAGCAGTAGTGTGGGAACTGTGCTGAAGGACAGAGGTAGGACCATGTGCTGAACAGTAGATTATGTGTCAATAAAACCATGTTAACACTTCCGTATTTAACATTGTAAGGTTCGGAAGCAAAAGGCTTCTTAAGCAGTAAAAGGAGGGTAAGCACAACAGGCACCCGCCATAAAAACCTAGCAAAAGCGCTATCACCATCTCACCCCACACAGGCTCCACAGCATGTTCCTAAAGGACAAGAAGCTACTCTGCAGTGCGGGTAGAAGCACAAGTTTTGGAACTGAAGGGGATACAAGAGGCGTGATTCAGACCCACACAAGGATGGTTTACTTACTCTGGTTTACACAGCCATCCCCTGGGGCTGGCAGCTGACACTGGCACCACTTAAAAGGCCTCGATGCTGCAGCACCAGGCTGTGACCTGGTGGCTAATGCTGCCCTTGAGGGATAATGAAAACTACTAAGGGAGCAGGCCTGGCTCCAGCAGGCAGGAAAGCTATTTAGTTCTCTCACCACAGCACTGTCGCTGATGGGAGATGAGAAGCAAGGGCAACATCTAGCAGTAAGTGCTGTGTAAGGTGCAGCTTCAGGCTCAGAATGCCAGAGCTCAGCCCTTCATCCTGTCTGGTATTCTCAGGACAAGCCAAGGAGTTGAACAGCCATGGAAAATTATTATTCCCCAGCACAGTTGCTCCTTGGACTGATTAATTCTTAACTACACTTTAAACAAGATGAGTTTATAAATTAAAAGTTACCTGAAAAAGGAGAAAAGCTGCTTGTAATGTTGATGCGATTTGGCTGATGGAGGCAGATGTGGGATATACATAAGGTTTTTTCCACATTGCTCACCCACCATTTTCCCCTCTTACGGCAGCTACCGCATCCCTGTGCGTTACTGGAAGGCATAGGCAGTCATATCCTGTGGGTATACACAGGAGGAGTTTGGGAATCCAGATACATGAAAGTAAATTTAAAGTACTCTGACCATGAAGGATAGATGGAGCTTATTTCCTTTTCTTTGGAGCACTGCAGTAAAAGTTCCAGCTTTTGGGTGGCTTTCACAGGAGAGCATTAGTTTTTTCCAGATATCTCTTGTTGTCTGCAAGACACTGTGCAAATTTGGCATGAAGCACCCGTTGCCTATCACTACAGCTGTGCATAGAGCTCACCTAAGGATTTCATAATGAAGAGTTAGCAATGTACTTTTCAAAGGACTGATGTTGCCACATCTGAAAAGAAATTCTGGTGTTACTGTTTCACACACTCCCCCAAAGTAACAGTACTGTTGTCAAAACTCACGCTGCTCAGCCTTGTATTTAAAGCGTAAGGCTGCGAGTCTGTCATTAGCATGGCTACCACACTTCCGTTCCTAGCAATGAATCTGGATTTCAGCTGGATTTTTTGGCACTTTGGTGAGAAAGCTCTGGACAGCTGGAAGAGACCTGCTCCAGCATTTTTTGTTTTCTTCTCTGTATCAATTTTCCACCTGTGAAACCCAAAATCCCACCACCAACTGCAGCTGCAATTCCTGCCACTTTGAACCCTGCAAGGAGACCAATCGGACCCCCCACCACTCCACCAATGACTGCACCTGCCACGGGCAGAGCTGCCAGCTTGTATTTTGCAGCCTGTAAAGGGAGAGAAAAGAGAGACAAACACAAAAGAGTTAGAATTCTTGCCTGTGGTGATGTGCTTTTCCCCCTCATTGCTCTTGGCAATGACTTGAATGCTCAGTGATAAATAAACTTTACAAATTAGTATTTCAAAAGAGGTGACCAACTGTCCCACATGGATGACAATGTACTAAACCCAAGTCAAAATTGAGCTGTCTCATGTATGTACACAGATGTGAACAGGGCCCTTTTACATGGATCTGGCTGATGATGCACATATTGCAACAGGTTGTCCAGAGAAGTTGTGGCTGCTCCATCCCTGGCAATGTTCAAGGCTAGGTTGGACGAGGCTTTGAGCAACCTGGTCTATTGGAAGGTGTCCCTGCCCATGGCAGGGGGTTGGAACTGGATGATCTTTAAGGTCCCTTCCAACCCAAAGTATTTTATGATTTATTTCCTGATCTCCATCATTAAATCAAACAAGAAGCTGAGCAAAAGATCAGATTTTTCAATAACATGCCTGAATCTAGGTTTGTGGCTTATTTGCAACTATCACTGACATCTGCATAGAATGGGAGTGAAATTGCATGTTATCATCAGCCTGTCATTTTACACTTGTTTGATTCTTACGAGCCAATCACTGACTGTGCTCATCTTTGCCGATAAACCAAAGCAGCATCAGAACAGCATAAAAAAAAAAAAAGAAAATTGTATTTGGTAGCCTGGATGTGATAGAAAATTACAAGAGAGATTGATTTATTTTTTTCTCTGCTACCTGTGGGTCATTTCTTCCTTATTTCCTTAATTGCTGGCTCCCTCAGCATTCAAGACGGCAGATCAATTGGGTTAATACCAAGGATTGCTGGGAGGCAGAGTACCATTGATTCACCAGCAGGAGCAGATCCCTACCTTCCTCAAGTTTTTGGTTCCCTCTTCAACATTCACAGCAGCACTGTTGACATGGTCTTCAATCCTGTCAATCTTCTCCTGCTGAGCCTAGATGCAAAGGAATTATGAGTGAGGAAACCTGCTGAGAAGCAGCAGTGAGCCAATACACACCATTTTAATGCCTGTAATCAGGGCCCCACAGCCGCTTTTCATCTGCTACACACCACAGCCGTGCAGCCTTCATGGTGGTTCATTAATAGCATCTGATGAACTGTGCTGAAACTACAAACTACTTCAAAAATATCTTAACAATTAAGTAATAATAGGGGGTGGGTATTATACAATGTGTTGCTGCAGTTAGAGGGGGAAAAGAAACCCAAACATACGATTTCCAAATCTTTTCTGTGAATAGATGAGCTCACATTCCAGAAGGAAAAATAAAACCAAGTAGCCTTTTTGCTTCCTGCTGAGTTTCATGTTCCAACTCCAACACACAGAGCTGCACAAAGAAATCTAAATATGTGTTTAATTATGACAGTATAAAATGCTGACTTAACTTTACAAATTGAGTAGTGACAGTACTGAAAATACACTTGATGTTGCTCTGCACTGTACTGAGTTTAAAAACACATTCCTTTTCTCCAAATGCAGTCAAATTCCCCTGCAGTCTCCCCTCAGAGAACAGTGGAGCAGAAGATAAAGGGGTTTGTGGGTTTGTTTGTTCTTATTTTAATCTCAGCAGTACCCAGGCTGTTCTGTGTCACAAAATAAGGAGATGGCTAATGTTCAGCTTAAAAGAAAAGGCATTCTGAACTCTTTTCCCACTTTCCAATACGGAAACTGGTATCTTCCTCTACAATCCAATCCACACACATCAGATGCTTGCTATTATATCGAATGACAGTAAGATGTAAAATCCAGAAAGTCTTGGGAACAGGAAGTGTCCCCCTTTTTAGCTATAACTGCTAACATTTAGGCTATTGAGTAACAATTTCTGCAGCCCCTCTCCAGCCTAATGAATCTTAGGGGTGGGAGGTGTTTGTATACATGAAGCAGCACATACTCAGCAGAAAGGCTAAAAACCGGTTTATCTCAACTAACCCAACTGTCAGAAGATTAAAGAACTCCACTGGGAGATAAGAATTGTGGATTTAAATTCCCCATGGCACAGGAAGAACTAAACTTTGGGAAGGCAGTATTGATGATGAAGACCTTTTGGCAGCTTTGTGAGAGCACAGAAAGGGCAGGATGAAAGTGAGGGGAACTTCAGAATTTTCTAGTACTGATTAAGTGAGAAGTACCTGAGAAACACCCACCCTGTGCAGTGAAGGCTGTCAGCACCATTACAATTAGAAATGGTAAAAACAAATGGGACCTGGGTACAAGTCTCCCGGTCAGCACTGTAGGGCTTCTGGGAAGGTTTAGCTTGTGTCCAAGGGCACTGGCCACAACATCAATAGGTGCTCCAGTGACGACAGCTTAGGCACAATTACCAGCACTACTGCTGAAATGAAAGAATGTTGCCTCCTCATAGAACTATTTTGACAGAGCCTGAATCAACAGGAGAGCCACAAATAAAACTTTTGCAGTGAGTCATTAATATAGGGAAGGAGGAGCTGAGGGCTTAAACTAATGCTTTTGAACATTCCTCTTCTGTTGGCACTTGAAAATCAAAAGAAAACATTTCACCCTAATGCTAGACAATTTGATGTCAACATTGATGTAAATACCTACAACTCTGGAAAATATCTAAGGTACCAGCATGGAAACTATAGGTGTATCTACCATAGGACCCAAGTAGCAAAGATAGCACCTTTGTGCAGGCATCTTGGCACACTGAAGGGAAAACAGCTCTGCCTCTCCTGGCATTTTCCTTAAGTTCTTAACAGTGACTAGGATTTTGTAGTCCTGAATACTTGACTGATTAAATTCAGCTGTTTCAGTTATTCTGCTATTCTGTCACTTTGACCAGGTGATACCAGCTCAGTCTAAGTTCAGACTATGGGCACAAGTATTGCTCATCTTTTTTTTAGTCCCATTAGGATTACTCATTGACAGTCCTTTTGTACAAGACTCCATCTAGGATAGAATGCAAAATTAATACTTACGTTGACTAAGAGAGAGAAGTCAGTCACCAACTGGCTAAGCTCAATCAAGCCCTACAATTAAAAACACCCAAATGTTATTTTGCAATAAAACCAAGAGCATCAACGTGGCAGTATGGGAGTTCCAACATACCTCTTCTAAAGTTTCCCAGGACTCAGCTGCATTTTCTCGCTGAGGTATTTCAGGAAGGGGGGAGTAGATCTGGATTAAACTCTGGGAGCCGTCCTTCACGTCTGTGCTATGTAAAGTTTCTGAATGAGAAACATGAAGCTTATAAATAAATGCACTGAATCAGAATGCAGGTGATGTGCGAAGTTTCTCACTCTTAGTGTTTCTCAAGAATAAATTGATACTTAACTAATTCAAGCCAAGTGACAGCCCTGAAAATGATCATATAGGGAAAAGTCTTACAGCAATAGACACTTTCTGAGAAGGAAGTTATTGCTGAAGAAATGGATTAATTCCTATCAGCCCACTTTCACAATTAGTTCTGAGAATAACATTAAAATTATAGTCCTGAATTTAAGGTCAGTTAATTTTGTTTCACTCAAGATAAGAAAACTGAGCCTGGGACAAAAAGCTTTTCATTTACATACAACACACAAGAACTTCAAAACTGAACAGACAGTTACTCATTTTGTGATTAGGATCCTACCAGTTTGATTTTCAGCCATTTGGGACTAAAAGAAGCTGGAGGAAAAAGCTTTCAAAGCAATGAAAACCAAGTAACACACTGCCCAGCATTCAGTGCTGGATCCAGCTAGGTAACAGTGCTGTGAGGATGACAAACACTTGCAGCTCAGCAGTACAAAGGAGGTATTCTCAAATATCTTCCTTTCTAAATCACCTGGACTGGATGCAGAGGACTTTAGGAGGAAGTATGGTGTTAAAAAACAGGAAAAGAGAGAGAGCTAGGTGTCGTGGGGGAGAGCAGATACAATGAATAGTCACACACATACCTTCTCCAGTTAAAGATCCTGATCTCGAGCCACTATGGATATAATGGACATGTGAGTGATTACAGGCAAGATATTAAGTGGTAATAAAGAATAACAACAAACAAGTTTGGCTTGTCATAGCAAGGATTTGGGAATAGCTTGAGAGTGTGAAAGGCAGACTGGAGAATGTATGTGTGTTTAACAAAGAACGTGTTAATTTAAACAACTTCAGTTTCTGAAGGAAAATGGCTGCTTTAGTAGGTCACCAATGTTTCCTTCCCTGGGAGAGCAGTATTAAGAGAAAGCTTAGCCTGGGGAAGGCTGGTTAGACATGTCTAACAATACTAAAGTGTAAATATTGTATTAAAATCCTTAGAAACAGTGAATGTGCCAAGGTACTGTAATAATATTCTATAACTGTTACAACAGATACGTACAATGGAAACCAAATAAAAATAATCATATTTATTTAAAAAACAGTAATAATGCATGCTTATTCATGGAATTAATTTAAGATAAAATAAAAATGACACATTTTCATAACCATTTGTCCATTTCTGAACATTTTTATCCCAGTACCTCAAAATACATTAAGAACCTAATCTTCCTACTCTCAGATCAATACAAGCCTAACATCAATGAAGCTGATGTTCAGCTGTAGCTACTAAGTCAGCAGAGTAGCAGAGTAACAGCAATGGAGTAAGTGATTTGGGGTTTTATTTTGGGATTTTCTTTCTAATTATTTCTACCCCTTTTCCTTTAAGAATCCAGACATGGAAGGCCCTTCACCTCCTACAATCATCACCTGTTCTTCCACAACATATTTCTGATTTATACCATCAGATTAATTAATGTTATAGACTCAGTCCTAAAATGTTGCTTTTCCCTTTTCAGCAGAATCATTCATAGATCCAAATGTGTCCATTTTTGGAGAAACCAATTCTGCTAAATGTTCTGACGCTTAACATGGGGTTTGAGTATTTTATTCCATTTAAATCCTTACAATCCTATTTCAAAATCAAGTTTCTTCTGCCAAGAAGAACACACTCTTCCCTAATCACTCGCATGCATGCTAAGTTGCTTGAAATTAAAATATTCAAAATACAAAAGCAGGAAAAAAGCTCACTAAGCAAAATGGCCTCTTCACAAATTGTCTTCCCTACTCCGGTCTGTCCTTAACAATCTTTGTTGACCTACTGTAGAAAAGCACATCCTCCGAAGTACATAACTGATGCTGAAGTTTTGCATGACACACATTCAAGAGAACTGAAAACTCTTAAGTAGGTTTACACTGTTACCATTTCCTAATAACTAAAAATTAGTGGGGAAAAAAGTCTCAAGAAAATTCTTTACTCGCTTCAAGATACTAAGGTAAAGAACAGGAAGGGTAAGAGAAGGTGAAGTCACACTTGGGCTGAAAGCATGAGTAAGAAATTTATATTCACAAGTTCACCTCTTATCAGGTCTAACCAATTTTAATAGAACTAGAGAATGGAAGTGGCTCCAACACTTCATTTACAGCATCTCCCCAGAAATGCAGTAATACAAAACACCTCTGCAGATTTCATAGAGCAGCTTCGCACCTCATTACACTCAAGATAAAAATCTAAAGCTCTGGAAGATTCAATATGTTGCTTAAAAGATTTTTAAGAGTCGAGTCTCACCTTTTGTTAATATTTGTTTAAAATGCAATTAAATTCCTATTCTATTGGACCTCAGCCACGGGTGGTGAGGCGGGGAAGGGACTACATAATATCACTGACATGCCTTCTAAACGGGCGATTTGAATTTGTAAACTCCTTCCTTCTCTACCAGGTGGGAAGCAACATGCTACAAAGAATGGGCATGCTGAAGCTCCTTTGATTAAGATCAGCAGCCAAGATTTGCTTTCAGGACTGCAGCCTCAAAGCACAAAAGAACAGGCAATATATAGCATCTGTGTTAGCAATTCAACAGGGCTGCTTTCATGGGCTGGCAAACTTGAAGAAAAAATACCTGTTTCATTGCATTTACTTGTCTGGCTGTCTGTGTATTCCACTTTAAATGGGGTGAATAATTTCCATATTCTTGAGCAGACTTACAGGAGTGTGTCATTCCAGGAATATTTTTCTGTTCTTCTCATCCCAATCTTTCTGATCAATTTCTTGTCTTTCAGAAGTACTGTCAAGTTCAATGTCCTCCATATGTTAATGGTGTTTCAGATTAAAAAAGCAGGCCTGTTCTTTGAATTTAAACTCTAGTTCCCATTTACCACCTATGTAGCTATGAGAAAAGCAGTAAGCTGGGACAAGGCCTTTCCAATGAGATACTGGAATGCACTGAGAACAACTGCAGAATGTTACCAAAAAAGAAGAGATATTTTAAATTTAGTTCTCTTCGTAACAGAGAAGAGCTCACAAAGAGCCTGAAAGCAGTGACTAGTATTGATGAAGGGGGTCACTGAATACCTGGTATTCCAGTCCATAAACATCTAAAACCTTGAGTATAAAACTGAGACCAATGAGCTCCTCTCAGATGAGCTATCTACAGATTTGTCAAATTAGATGGTCTTCAAAAGTCCCTTCCAATCTAAACCATTCTATGGTTCTTTATTTGATGTATCTTGACTTTTTAAGTCTTTCTGATGCTACTGCACATGACATTCTTGAAAGCAAGCCCAGTTTTCAAATCTACTTTTCTCCCTGTTTGACTGTTAGACTCACTAGCTTGCTAATCACACTTTGAAAGAGTTCTTGTAGTTCCTTATGTAGCAACAGGAAGGGTCATGAAATCAAATTTGATGGCAGGTTCTTCTACAATGTCATGGACTGAAAATACTATTTTGATGTTAAGACACATGAAATCTTCAAACAAATTTAAACAACGCTGCTACTGCAGCAATCAAACTAACTACCGTTATGTGGAAGGATTTAATCCTGCTGTATCAACTTTCTCATAGCAGAGAACACTGGCCAGTACCACAGCATAGTAAGGGCTTCCCCTGAAGACAGAATGGTAGAACAAGGAATGAAAGACAATTGTACAGAAAGGACCGAAGAACAGCAAACACGCTGACCTGTAGCATGTTTCCAAGACCTTTTATTTAAATGGATTTATACTGTTTTCTGCTTTTCTGTCAGCTGCCAAGTTAAAATGCTACAGGAAGAGACCTTCTCCTTTATAGAGAGACTTGCTCCTCTTTTCCACATATTTCAGCAGTGGCTTATTATACTGTCTGTCATATAAAAATTGTTTTCTTCTTGATGTTGCAAGCACTAATTCAGTGAAAATGGCCTAAATGATTATTCACACATGATTAAGTGTGATCAGCTAATCTGCTACCTATGAACAGTCTTCTTTTTCAAGATCCAAGGCTACAGGATCTTTGTCATAGAAGGCAATTCTCCACTTATCAAAACTCAGTCACAGGTCTTGAGAAAAGTGAGGTGTAGGAAAAGCAATCTGTTTCTTGATTAACTATTATTCAACTGAAATCTCATTTGTTTACTTCATTTATATCTCGTCAAATAAAAGGCAGACTGGATTCAACAATATACATATAATAGATAAAGAAATCAAATTCTCCTACCTCCTCCTACAGTTGCAGATCTGGTTAAAGAAGCATCCTCCTGTCCTTCGAGTTGCCTTTTAAGTTCTTCTGCAGATTGAGAATGGAGCTGCAGGAAGTCTTTTATGGCAAGTGAAGCTTCCTCTTTAACGGGATTTATCATTCTCTGCAACACCAGGATGTCTTCCTTCCGGACTCGCAAGCAGAGTTTCTCCATTTCTCTCATATTGGAGCGGAGTTGCTGTAACCATTTTAAAGACTTATTTTGTAGCTTACTATGTAAGAGCACCAGACACTTTCAGTGGTTAGGAAGCAACTACCAACTCGGTATGTTTAAATGTTCATTTAAAGTGCTAAGTTTTAATAAACTAAGACAAAAAAAAACCAACCCTCAAGTCCCAGGTTTTAAACAACCTCTCCTCTACATCCCTTTTCCAGACTGCGTTGTTTGACTGCAGCTCATTTGCCTGTCAAAGATGTCCCCAAATGCTGTAAAAGCCCATGCCTCCGATAACAGTGAATTCTCTCCTTGAATCCATCCTGGGTCTTCCAGGCTCTGTTATCTTGTGTCCCCATGCTATTCCCTGGTCTTTTTTTAATGCTCTTGCAAAACAGTCACTCTACAAAAGATACAGTGCTCTGCAGGGAGGGAGTTTGTCCTCACTTAAGATAGCCCAACCTAAAGATGATCCCTTCCAAGTACATGATCTTCCTCTTTCTCATTCCTCCTAAGGCAGATGACAGTCCTGTAGGCAACAGTGATACTGGGCGAGACAGTGATTTAGTCACCTCAACCAGAGCTCAACACCGTCCGCAAGGGAAGGCATCTGCACTTTCAAGCACTTCTCACTTGGATGTGCCATTACCTCATAACCGGTCACTAAGACTGTTGTATTTTTAGTATTTGCTGGTGCTTGTGAGTTCTCTCAGTTCGCTATCTATAACAAAACATAAATGGGGAAGGCAGCTCTCAACACAGCAGCCCCTAAACAGTGCAGTGAGGCATCACTGGGACATGCTGTTGAGTCTTTTTGGACTACTTCCCGTAAGAGAAACTAAGCTATCTGTCCCAGAAGCATAAGAACCAAAGATCAAGGAACAGATGTTACCTATTATTCTCTCTGGCAAACTAATTTATCCATAGATAAAGACAACTAAGACAACTTCAGGGACAGGGGATAAAAATTACCTTTCCCCCAATATTTATATTCTTTTTCCAGAAGAAAATCAAATATATTTGACTGGAATGTCAAATATAATAAACCAGAAAGATTTCTTTAGTCACAAGAGTTTGGAGAAGATACAAACTATTTACGACTAGCAAGAAGAGTCTGTGTGCAGGCATCTCCTGTGAGATAAATTTCTGTCTGCAGCAAAAATAGTCTCTTTTTTATTGCCTAGGCTTTTAAAAATCTAAAAATGAACACAACTTCTCTTTTTCTACAAACAAAGAAATTTATAGTTTAAATTATACCACTTAGCATTTTAGGACAGAGATTTCATCTTATTATAAAAAAAGACGGTAATAAAAACAATATCAATTGCATTACATTATAAGGTGATATTATAAATTATATTACTTCTTGCACTGTTTACCAGTTGGTTTGAGTATTCTTCTCACAACAGAACAAGAGAATGGATTGACATCAGTGCGTCGTTGGAAACAGAAAGGTTTTCTTCAGTAATACAAACCAGGTACAGGTAATGCCTTAGAATGGCAACATTGCTTACCTGGAAAAGCAAGAACTGTATACACTGGAAGTATTTTTTTATGTATGAAAAAGATAGTAGAAATATAAGCAGAGAAAAGGGAAATTAATTCCACATCAAATTGAGATAACACTGCATGATACATATTTGGCAATCAAAGAAAGAACTACTGATTTGTAAAATTCATTTGTCAAATTACTAAGAGTATATTCTGTTGTACGCTATGTACTACTCGTCATTCTAGGCTGCACTATTTAAGTCACTGATTAACAATAAAGAGGGAGATACAAAAAATTAGATATTGAGCTGGACTAGAAACATGGTATCCGATACTTTTCCTCATACATTTCTCATATTAATGTACTCTGCTCTTCTTGTATCTTCCTCCCATGGTCTGCCCAAAAGTACTGATAAAAGGAGAATGTCATCTCTGCCGTAGCCCACCACATGCCAAAATTCTCAGTTTATAAAATCTTGGAGTTTCATTTAAAGACAAAACGGGACTATCTAGACACAACATTTCATTATCTACTTTGTGAGAATTATATGCAGGAGACTCAATGAAGCTGATCCTGCTGTTTTGTTTCAGGGAACAGAATTATTATTATTATCCTGTCTTTAGCCATAATGGGAACAAAAAAAAGACAAACCAAACAAAACCATGTTGTGAAACAGTAACAATAGTGAGTTTGGGATAAGCTAATAATGCTTCAAAGCAGCTTCTTCAAATAAAAAAGGAAAATCTCCTAGCTGAAATTGAGTTAAAACACAGCTCTGATAGAGAGCTGCACCACTGCAGCTGCAGCAATTATCAGTGTACCCAACGCATGAGTATAACAAAGACTGTTACTGTGCAGTGACCAACACAGGCACCAACTTGCTGCTGGGGATTGCAAAAACCCTGAGCAGAAGCTTCAAGAGATACGAACTACTCACCCTAGGAATGGCTTGATCTGATCCTCACTTTCACTGTTCATTGTTAGCTTGCTGATCAGAGAGAAGTATTTGTGAGGAAGACAATGGAGAAATCAGATGAGATCTGATAATATATTGGGGGTTGGACTAGATGACCTTTAAAGGTCCTTTCCAACCCAAACTATTCTATGATTCTGTATTTGCCTATCTGGCGAAATGTAATTTTACCACCTCTTCTTTTGTGGTCTTGGCAAGAATACTCTTGTTCCATTTACTGTCAATGAAAAAGAAGCTAAACAGATTCAGCCTAGCAAGAAAGCTAAGCCCTGCTGTGAGGAAGACACATCACAGGAGCTCACCAGGGTGTAACATGATAAATGTTATGGATATGCAAATGACTGTGACTTCATCTCACAATCATTTTAATGGGACAGAGTTTAATTTCTGGGTAGAGCATAAAAGTATATCACCTTCTTCCCAACTGTTTCCACTTCTAAAATCAAGCTTACTTAGAGAGGAAGGTAACACAAAATTCTGTTTTCAGTTAGGGGAATTCCTGAGTTTCAAACTCACCAAATTCAGCCCAAAAGACATAGATTTTTTCTTCATAATATTTGCAGTTTTCATGTGTTAACTTCCAAAACCACATAACAGTCTTTGTTTCAAAAGGCTTTCTCACACAAACTGTAGGAAAATAAAGCTGACAAAAACCCTGGGAGATCATTCCTTCAAAGCACAATCTGCCATCTCTATCTTATTTCTGACAGTTGTTTATCTAACCTGGTCTTAAAAGGCTAACTGAATCATGGTGATCATGCCATTATCACACTCAATCTCTGCCACTATCATTCTCTTTTTCTTTCTTCTTCGTTTATTACCATTTTCCAATAGTTTTCACTTTGAACTCTTTATGCTGAAATAATACATAGATGACACAGGATCTGTCAAATCCAACAAATCAGTCCCTTTCTAACTCCTGTCTTCTGTGTGTTAATCGCTATCAATTCTCCCTCCATTGTTTTACATTAAGATGTAAATAGCGCCGTAAACGAAACCCACCACCTTAAATCCTCTCAAACATAAATATGATTTTTAAGGAAGCATTGAAGTAGCTTAGCCGTGCAAATGTAATGTTGCCTTCATTTACCTTCTCTAGACTTTGTTCAAAGTAATGTAATAAAGGATACATGTAACAAATTTCTTGGCATAGGTCAAACAAACCCCTGAATTTAAAGATACGTTTACCCTACAGATGGCCACATAGTGAGTGCAATAGTGAGCTGATTTTACATGACGCTTCACTGATACCATAAACGATCTCCTGCAGCAACAAACTCGTCTTCCCTGCTCTCCCGGTGTATCGGCATAGGATTCCAGAAAGATACTTAATTTGAAGACTGCATAACTTTAAAGATGGTAAAGAAGGCACGAGCCATACAACTAAGCTTTGAAGATTTATGCAAACGAGAGCTGCCTGAAAACCATCTTCTACTTGTAAACCATTTTCAGCTGAAATGGAAATTGTAAAACTGAAAAAGATAAAAAATAGATTACCGTTTTTCAAGTAACTTTGCAGGCTGGAGCAACAGAGCGGAGACACTGTCTGCCCGGGTATGTTTTGCAGAGCAGTCTACTTTTGTGGCCTGAACATAGACTAAAGCAAAATCATTCATCCATACACTATTCCTTTTTTTTTGTTCAATGCCCCACATCCTCTGTAGTAACTGCAGCATTTTTCTTCCTCTCACTGTGACTATGATCAGGGCAGACCTTAGGTGTTACAACAAAATCCTGCCATTTCATTGAAATGTGCTTAAATCTTGCAATAATTAACTAATTTTATGGTACAGTCAGCATCTATGTGGGCAAAGCCTAGAAAAATTGCATATTTATTCAGGCCCTAACATTTTAAGGAAAATATGGACCATCCCTAAAAATGAGAATCTACAAGAGCACATTTCTGAAAACTAACACATGGTATACAGAACAATTTTCTCAGTATTTCTGAAAGGGTCTCATCATGCCCTATGCAAAGATTTCCCTGGCTTCTTCTCTTTCCTTTTTAGCAGTCTTTAAGGTGGCTCCAGTCACTATAAAAAAGTGGTATACATTTATGCTCATCTATACTTCTACTGTCATTTTGACCATCATCAAAAGTACAACAGAAGTAATTATTCTGGGTAAACTGAAAATTCAGAAAAAGGGCTAATTATGTGCACATGGATTAAATGTAGAGTGGCTGCGCATGTATTTGTCTAAAACCTGTGGCGGATGCCTTGGGTCAATATTGACTTAGGGATTCCTAATGTATTTTTACAACATCTAATTCTGAGAGCAAAGTGTGTGCTGCAGAGAACATTTGGTATCACAATAATTAATCTGATTTCTTAGCAAACAAACAGATCACAAGTCCATTGGTAAACATTTAAACAGCTTACAGCAAACACATTCTACATGTCATATAATTTATTATCAAGTACTCCAGACTCCTAACTATTTAATTAAAACAAAGAGCTAATCTACTCTTCTTCCACGAACCCAGATTCTTATTCTGATCTCTGAGTATCAGAATGTGAACCACTTTAAGGCATAACTTGTATCCAGATCTAAAAGCAATAAGCATTAAGAAAATGTAAGAAAATTTATTTGGGCTGAAAGAGAAAATGGCAGGCTTGAGGTTCAAGACAAATAGAAATAGACAAATACGAGGTTTTATTACTAAAGCACTTAACATTTTAAAACATCATCTTCAACATGACTACTTTTTCTCTAATTAGTGATAGATATTTTCTTGCCAAACAAATTATTCTGCTAATAAAGAGTTCCACGAGAGGCATTTTGCATCACTCGGATGTGAAAACAGATTAGAGCACAGACATAAGCATTTGTAAGCAAACACATGCTTATAATACCACACCTGTTGGAATGCCATTGTTTTAGCAGGACTTCCACCTTTGGAAGACTCTTTCTATATTAAGAATAAAATGATATTCAAACTTCAACGATACTTGGTGAAAAAATAAAACCCCCCAAACATTCAAACTTCCAAATAAGAGAAATATCAAGTGGATTTCTTATTTAACTTCCTAACACCTACACTAAAAAAGCTCATTAGCACCTTCCATTCCTAAAAAAAAGACACCAAACTCCAGTTCTGCCCCCTGTCTAATATCTTTGCTCAATCAGGATTAAGTTCTTTCTGAGGCCTGGGTTGGGGTTTTTTTATTTTCAGTCTGGTCTAATTTCCCACAGGAGTTAGTAAGGCATTGCAAAAAACACAGGAACTTACAGTATCAGAATTATGAAATACAGATGCAGTCACTAAAGGTTTGTTCTAATGACAAAGTCATGTCCCTCCTCCGAACAACATCTATGAAAACAACAAAAAATGCCTCTCCTGCTGTCCGCAGACTTTGCCAGTACCACATGTTATAACCTGTCTTGCTATATCTGCTACATAATCACAGATGCTATATCTGCACCAGTAAACATTACAGTGCAGATGTGGTCTCTGCGGGGTTTTCTACTGATAATTTTCTTCAGCTGTGTGCCATTCAGCAGTGTGAAAGTTGATGTCTGACATTAGCTTTTGCACTGTTTTCATCAACACCTGCATTTTTTCCAGAAAAGGATGTAAGATTCCCAGTATGTTCTGTTATGGGTGACTATGCATGAAGTCACTGGGATGATGCCATGTTGACGAATGCATCTGGTATTTCCTCCTTGTGCATCTAAGATATTTGCACACGAAAGCAGTAGCCCAGATGTTATGTGGTTGGTCTAAAACTATGCTTTAGAATTAACATCATTCCTTATTGCAGTTCCTGTCTTCTAATTTAATAATGTAAGAGGACAGTTTCAAAAGACCAGTCTCCAAACTTTTGTTTATTCAAGAATCCTGAAACATTTCTGACTGTATTTGCCTGAAAGAACACAATGAGGAAATCCCTACCTTTTACGTGAACTAAAGCAACACCTTGTACTTGTCAAATCTAGCTGTCAAATTTTTGTCTCTGTGAAGATCCATCCCTGAGGCAACCAGTACCATCTATGTGATTTAATTCCATTAATCTCACAAGTAATTTTAATACCCTTACCTGAACTGTTCGTCCTGCGTTAATGTGTTCTTCGTGCAATCTGTCCCAGAGCCTGCATCTCTGATACTAAAATAAAGGAAAACACTCCATATAATAGTTATTTTTACCAACCGGCTATGCAGGAAAAAGGTACCTTTAATAAATAATCACTTTAATTTTCCAAGATTGACATTAAAGAAGCTGAATCATAGGCATTTCCACTGCAAAATCAGAGAGGTAAATGGCAATGTACCCCCATGGTGTAATCACAGGAAATGAAGTTAAAACTGAAAGCAACAGAGATAAGGATGCCATGTCTTACAGTACTGCTTTTTAAGGATTGCTGTATATCACCAAAGAAGTTTAGGGCAGCGTGCCAAAACCCTTCCTTCCTGTAGTATGATGGCAATTGCTTTCACCTAACAGAAGCTAACAAAGTTGTAGCTCTTTTGGATAAGCATACATCTTATTCCCTCTTTGGGAGTGAAAGGCCATTCAATCCATGGAATGTGCTTTAGAAAACAAAAAAACCTCTGGGGGAAACATGGAAAGAAAAAAAACCCAACAAACCAAGTATAGAGAAATGATTATTTTAAGAATGTAATTTTTAAGTCTTCAGAAAATGTTGTACAAAAGTTGGACACTCAAATAGTTGAGAAGCAATGACAATGGATTTATGGTAGCCACTTTCTCTGAACAGGTGTACTCAAGGTCAAATTTCATTATATATTGATTTTATAGTTTCTTCAAACAGTGATTTAGTAGATTAATTGTTTGGACTATCTCTGGAACCAAAGGTTTAAATCAATATTCATGAAATGAGGTTAGAGATATTGGCTTCATCATAAGTAAATAATGTTGCTGCTCTAAGCAATTTGACATAATTAGTGTTTTTTGCTTAAAAGTAGCCTGTAAAATAAACAGGATGAGATTTTACAAAATTATCCTTTTACCTCTGGGATGTTTGGTTTACATGGCTGAAAGTTAATTTTACAAAAAGTATTTTAGAGAACACCATTTAAGGCACTGATGCTGACAGCTCAGTACTGTAAGACATTTGTTATAGCTAAAACGCATGTAAAAGATACAAAATACAAATTATCATGGAAGCATTTCAACTAAACCACTGCTAGTGTTCTGATAATCTAAAATTATCTAGAGACAGATTTCAAATTCCCATTGCCATATTTCTATTCTTACTGTCTCATAAACCTACCAATACAGTAAATTTTGGAATATTTATAGTTCTTCAAGACAGAAAATTATTTTAAAAAAAGAAAAAAAGCAATAGAAGCTTTAAAATTTTAAGAAGATTACACTGAGTGTGGACTTTGTAAATATCAGACATTTAGGTACTATTTTATACTCAAATGTATTGCTTCTCATAAATGTTTGCGTCTTCTATTTTTTATCAACACAGAGAAATTCTGAAGTCTTCAATACTGCTGAATACTTTCTGGTACAGTTACCAATTGTTTATTTACAGGTTTTATTCATAGTTACTTGCTTCTAATATTTCTTTGAATTAATAATTCAAATATCAAACCTGCCAGGATTTACACTGTCTAGAGATGCAGCAATTTTTAACAGCATTCTGAATTCACAAAGACAAATCTATATTAGCTGTTGTTACCATTTCTTGCTTTCATAAAAGTGATCTAGAGGAAGCACTGTTGACACTTTAAGAACTATATTTACAATTACTTACAGATTTTTCTGATATGCAAATTTTATGATGTTGACTGAACGCATAATTCACACTGGTACCACCAAGAACCTGAAAATCTCAAGATATGTCCAAACCAGATACTTTTAGATTGCATCAAATTTACATTCAAAATATAAAATTCAACTACTCAGTAAAAGCATCTTGGTATTTGGTGTCACTGAGCACCACTACAGAAACACCACAGTCTGTACTGCCCATAATTAAACTCTGGCTAAGCATGAGTTTCTCTGACAATGCTTTAAACAAAGTGTTAGATCAGAACTAACCTAAAGACTCATTTTATCTTGAGTGCTAATATTTTCCACATGTTCCTTAAGACACAGAAAACCATCCTTGCAATGATCTCCTTTTCTGTCAGCAAAACAGGAACGCCTGATGCAAATGAGTTGCTGGGCCAATAAAGATTTCAGTTGTCCAACACGTGGCTGACTTAAATGGACACATTTCGCCCCTTTCCTGGCACCATGGCAACACTATCTGGCTAGATACAGCTTTAATCATTCTTTGTTTAATTAGGTAGAAGATTTCCAGCAGGATCAAAGAGTAACCACCAGGTTCTGCAAAACAGCAGTTCCCAAAATCATGTCTCACACTGGATAAGTACTAGACAGGTTAATAACTGATAATGTCTCTGTTTCTCATTGCAGCACCCAATGCCTTTTGAAGACTCTTGATAAGGTGATTATATAACATAAATGAGAGAGGTTTTACATATATGGACAATACTTAGCAAAGAATCTATGGTACAAAGTTACACTACTGGGAAAAAAATACAAGCAGTGTAACTCTTACGCCTATTCCTCAATTGTCTCTCCCTAACTACTACCTTATATCAAAAGCTTTTCTTTACCTTCAATGTGCAATAAAACCATTTGTGTATCACTAATGTGCCCTTGCTAATCACTTCCTACTCTGCACTGGCAGGTCAGCTCCTGCTCAACAGACTAGCTTTTTCCAGTGACCATCAGTTTGTTCCTCTCACGCAAGACAGTAGCTTTTTTTTTTATGCCACCCTTTTGTGGGTATTTATTACTACATGCCTTTATTTCTGGATGCCTTCCTCAAGACTCTGAAGAATGGTACACCTCACTGTTCCACACTCATTGATGCTGTTGGTGTTAAGTGGAGTGCTGCCCTGAAGATGCAATTTTAAATATAATTTTAACATAAGACAACTATGGACCAAAAACTCTACCTTTCTGCAACCAAGAAATCCCTCTTGGTAGATCACAGCAAATGCATATTGCCTCCACGAGCAGTTGTGCAACTTCTGGTTAGAGAAAGAAGGGAACAACCTAGCTACCAAGACTGCCTCTATTTGAACCAAAGAGCCTGCATGGAAAAGCTATTATTATGACACTCTCCTCTAGGCTCCTGTGAACCCTGTCCTATTTCACATTATTCTTCACCAGTTGCCCTTAAGGGCATAAACTTGATAGTTTGCTATCTCTATGGCCCCTGCTAGGTATGGTCCATGCACACTGCGAGATGTACACACTGTTTCCCGGAGGCTGCCCACCGCTCCAGGGCAACTGTAGGTGTAATACTGACTCCTCGGTACTCTAGCTACAACGCAAAGTAAGTCAATTAACTGCTCTTTGCAGAAAGAGCTGGAGAACAGAAAGCTGCTCCTGGCTACTACAGAACAGGGCTGCTGCAAATTGGCTGATTCCAAGGCAAAAATACTGCTGAATCAGCTGGCATTTAGGTAATGAATTATACAAATATGTAATAATAAAAGAGTAAATAACATGCTGTGACTGAAAAAAAAAATTAGATCATCTCATTTAGAAGTTATTGCTTCAGGCAAAGAAAATACTTTTCAGTTGGTGAATATTGCAATTCATATCCTTATTGTATCCTTAACCCTCACCAGGAAAGAGTCAAATGATTATTTCCCTCCATTAGACCTTGCAGCCCCAAGTCTTTCTCTATCCCAGTTTTATTCTTGTCCCATGGTCAGACACCATTCTGCACTTTCACCTTCCATCTGAGGTACTTACTCACAAGCTCCTCCCACCCAACTCTTTACCCTTTATTTACTTGAGTAAGAAAGAGTTTCCTCTTGCACACAAGTAAGTGAAAGTAAGAGGATGAAACAGTGGGAACACAGAAAACTCACCTCCCTGTTTCCATTCTCAGATTCAGGACCAATCAAATTAGCAGCTCCAGGAATGAGTTCTGCTAATTTCTAAGTACAAGAGCATGTCTTGGTGTTTTTACCAAGAAGATTTAACAATCTTCAGCTGGCAGAATTCAACCAGTATCTACTGAGCACTTGCAAACCACTTGTTTTTTTTCAGAATCATACCTCTTGGCCAAAAGAACAGCAGATTTTTAGAGGCACAGCAAAACGTACAGCCCAGATAAAGACGACACCACAGAAACATCTCAAGTGTTCCAACACAACGTCAGTGTGTTCTTTGAAAAGGAATTATCTCTAAGCTATCAATCACTAACACTTAGACTAAGCATTTCTTACTAAAAGAAATATCAATCACTTGAACAACACATTATTTCCTGACTGCGTTCTCAGAAAAAAAATACATGGATTTATTTTCCTCCTCCCACAACCCCAAACTACTTGAGGCAAAAAGCCGGCATGGAAAATCTCATCCAAAAGGTTACCCACTTACTGAAGTTACAGTAAAGTTATGGTAGAAGTTGTGAACGAATGACAGCAGCAAAATGCAAAACAGTTTCAACAATACACACCCACGCACCCTTCGGACCATAACTTTTAGGAAATCCAAATCATATTTACCTATTTTCTTACACTTCCTTCCTTCACAAGGTGCCAAAAAATGTAGACGGTTGTCCTACACCATCCAGATTTACATATACACTTGATTTTACACATTGTGAATAAGCCTGATCAAATTAATACCATGTAATGCTTTTCAGAATCATGTCCAGAACTGAACAGAACAACAGGCACTCACTGTCACTGATTTTTCTGTGGTGACAGATATGTCCTGTATGGTGATTTCAAAACTTCCATCACTACATTGATATTATGACTGTCTGTTTCTGAATCACTTTCTTCCTGCTTTTTATGTGTGCCACCTGTTTCAGTAAATCCCTTACCACTTTCCTCAACAAAACAATTTTTCTCTTTCCACAGGCTACATCTATACCAATAAACATGGACTGAAAATGTTTCAAGCCTGAAATCTGGTCATCTGTGCTGTTAAAATGTCAGAACTGACCCTGGCCATGATAAACAGCTCTCTCACAGAGAAAATTCCTGAGAATAGCTAAGGACTTAAAACAGAACAGAGGCTATTCCCCATTAGCAACGTGAATGCAGCCACCCTGTCTTGCAGAAAATGAGGATTAAATAATATGGACATTGGGCATTTCATGCCAGACAACTGTCCTGGGCACTTTTATTTTAGCAGTACAGGCACTGCCACAGTCTATGCAAGAATTTAACTTGGAAACTGTTCCGGGTTCAGCTATAGCAGTAATTTTTCTCCTTAGTAGCTGGTGCAGTGCTGTGTTTTTGAGTTTAGCCTGAGAACACTGATAACACTTATGTTCTGAGTTGTTGCTAAGTAATGCTTACTCCGATCAAGGACTTTTCAGTCTCATGCTCTGCAGTGAGGAGGGGCACAAAAAGCCAGAAGGGAACAGAGACAGGACACCTGACCCAAATGGGTATTCCACACCACGGCATATCATGCCCATATATAAACTGGAGGGAGTTAACTGGAAGGAGCAGATCCCTGCTTGGGTCAGGCTGGGTGTTGTTTGGGGGTTGTTGAGCAATTGTATTGCGCATCACTTGTGCTTATTGGTTATTATTTTCCTTTATCCCTTCTAGTTTTATATTCTCTCCCCTTATTATTTCCCTTACCACTATTATTATTGGTGGCAGCAGCAGTGGTTTGTGTTATACCTTAGTTACTGGACTGTTCTTATCTCAACTCGTAGGAGTTGCATTCTTTCAATTCTCCTCCCCATCTCTCCAGGAGCTGACAGGAGGAAGTGGGGGAGTGAGTGAACTGCTGCGTAGTTCTGAGTTACCGGCCGGGCTTAAACCACGACAGAAGCGTATTCAGTTTCACTGCCAACTGTGAGCTATTGTCAACAAGAAGCATATACACATGCTACAATTTTGATACAATTCTATTTCTATTTACTTAAATAATTAAATCTCCCTATTTCTCCCAATTCCGTTTAAATTATATTGAGAAAAAGATAGGTATTCACAGTAAACTACCAGAATAGTTGGCAGCAAACCACTGTGACTTAAAAAATAAAGCAAGCCTATTGGGCTGCTTTCCTTACAACAACTTTTTAGCACAAAATAGTAATGTTTCTCTTTCTCACTCTATAGACTAACTAGTTACTATAAACATAAAGACCCTTGTATACACTAAATTACCAGACAATACAGGTTTCATTTTTAGCTAAATTAGAATTAAAGCATTTCATAATCAACTTCTCATTGAAATCTCTCTATATAATCTTCCAGCATGATTGCTTCTATACTGTAAAAATAACTGTATTAGTAAAAAGTGAACACTAACCTTCTCAATATTTATTTGGTGTTTTCTTAACCTTTCCAAATCTGTTGGAATTGCCACTTTAATGAATTTCTGAATGGCAGGTTCAATTCGACGGAGTTTAACTTTTTCGTCATCTTCAGACATCCTAAAAGCAGCTCTCAAGTCAACACTTGCTCAGTGTACTTTCACCAGGGTAGAAAGCCCTAAAAAAATACATTAATTACAGGATTACAAAAATGTAGTATTTTAGCATATTTTTTAAAAAGAAAGCCAAATAAGATAAATCACTCTTTGCAGTATTAACTACTTAAAATCTGGACACTGTATTTGCATTTAAATGTATTATTTCCATTCATTTGCAGGCTTTGGGGATCATTTTCATAGATGAAACTTTACATCAACAAAAAAAAGCTAATAAATTAAGGCAGACACAAATATGCTTTGCAGCATAATGATAGACGGAAGCCTTTGGAAAAAACTTCAAATTAATTATTTTTCTTGCTTCTATCTATGGTGTGAAAGCACAGGGGAAAGTGTTCAAGTTTTTCTGAGACATGTGATTCCTGCAGGCAGAAAGAATTTGAAGGCAGACACCAGCTGATTGGCACTAGGTCTCTGAACCCCTCAAAGTTCAGTCACAGCCCTCACTGGTAGGCTGGAGGGAGGATATGTACAAATCTCACTTACCTTCAAAGGATCCAAGGGGTAAGCATGTTCCATCAGGCCAGTGAGAATGCTGAAAGCACTTCTGGCAAAGGGAAGATCTGTTTCTAGAGGAAAACAGGAAAACAATTCCAGATTACTCACCTTTCCCCACACAACTGCAAATAAAACAACGTAGAATTTTTTCTGAAGAACAGAATGCTAATAGAAGAGTCTTCTCCTTTATCAATCCCACCCAGCAAAAAGACTGAAAATTGTGGAAAACTGAGTATTTAGTGAGAGTAGACCAAGTTAGGGGAAGTCAATCTTTAGGGTTTCACTGACACACCTTTTACTTTTTGAAAGCATCAGAAACTATTTCATCAACTGACTTTCCAGCCATTGCTAAATCATCCCTGCTTCAAAATATAATGACATACTATCAAGCAGTCTTACAAATCCCATTCTAACCAAAAGCATTTAATATTAATAGTTCTTTTTTCAGACCTTCAAGCAAACATGCAGTGGGTAGCCTCGCATTTTTCACTATGTAAAAAGAACTTTAATCCCTTTGTATTGATTTGCTCTTTCCACCATTCTAAAAACAGTAGCTTACATGCAAGATGATAAAAAATACATTGGTTCTTCTATTACACCTTGGTCACTACAGTCCCTAACACTTTTGAAAGAGCCACTTGTATCTCAAAATTGAACCTCATTCTCAGCCTAGAACAGACTCTTTTTGCTATGAGCAAAAGATAAAAAGCAGCATACTCCAAACTGCAGTACCTCCTCTTGGAACACACATTTCATCTCCTGACAGCTTATACACTAATCCACTAGTTTATGAGCTAGAATTAATCAAAAAATGGTTCCTTAAAGATACTGAGTAGCCATGTCTTGCTCTTCTTTAACACTGAATCACCTTGAACAAGCAATGACACAAATTCTTTAAACTTACCGCACATGAACTCACAGAAACCCACAGCTCATTCTGTCTTTGAACAAATACAGCAGAGATTAAGCTAAGTCTTAAGTTTGTCACAAATCTTTAATGACACCTAGAGATTGATAAGTCAAAAGTGGCAGTTCAGATGACACATAAACTGGACCACAGTGGAAGCAGAGTTAATATGACCAACAGCCATGTCTTGAGTAGGTGATCTGAGTAAACAACAGTTTTAAATTCAAAGATTTGGTTGCATGCAGGGCTCTGGATAGTCATTCTCTTCTACTGAAAAATTCCCAGACAGTAAACTACCTTTCATGACAATGCCTACAAACCTCTTTAAGGCACTACTGCTTAAAATTCACTGCACAGTAAGTGTGAGAAACTAAGAAAGAAATACAAAAACGCCTCATATTCTCATCAGGTCTCCTGCTTCATGTTCTCTCAAACAGTACAGTAGCTTTTGTAACAAAAATTCTAAGCCATATATTACCAGTAAGAAAATATGCAAGGTCTTACTTTTTTTAAGTTCATATAATATGTAAATAAAATTAACATCACAAGTTTTTGTCACCATATGTTCATTCCAGATACAATTTCAAGGAAATCTAAGGTTTCTTGAATACTTTATTTGGTTTGTGTTTTCCTAAGCATAACTTCAATTTCTAGAGCTATAATGCCTGGGTTTTGAGTAATCACAGAATAACATGACAGTTTCAGTTGAGAGTGATTTTCACAGGCCATCCAGTACCAGCTGCATTCGATGTGGTTGCACAGGCCCTTGTCCAGTCAAGTTCTAACACCTCCATGGATGCGTGCTCCACACACTCACTAGACCCTTCCTTCTTTGTTTGACTATTCTCCAGGTTAAGAACAAACCCAAATCAAAACCAAAAATACCTTCCTTGTAGCTAAACCACCATGTGTCCACTGCCTGTCATCCCATTGTCACGCACCCCCAAGAGAAGCCTGGCTCTATACCTTCTCCCCCCACAGCAGTAAGATGTCACCTTCCATCACCTTAAAGCTGAACAAATCCACCTCTGTTTCTCCTTGAATATCACATATTCCAGCCCCCTAACTGCCTTGCCAGTCTCACAGGTGCCAAATGGAAGGGAAAAGTCACTGTCAACCTACTGTCCCTCAGCCACATTTGCAAATGCATAAAACATAATGCAGTTGTCCTTCTCTGCAACAACACAGTCAGGCTCATATTCAACATGTGGTCCACTACAACACACAGGTCCTTTTCTACACAGCTGCTCTCCATCAAGTCTTCCCACAGCCTGTCCCAGTCATCAGGTAATTCCATCCCAGCTGCAGCAGTTTCTTGTTGCCTTTGCTGGAATTTATGAAGTTGCTATCAGCTCATTTCTCCATGTTGTCAAGATGCCTCTGAGTAGCAGCCCTGTCCAGACTATTAAATACTCTCCTCAAGTAAGTGAAAAAAAAACCTGTTCTCAGCTTTAGCTTAAGAAGATGTCCTGCATTCAGCTCTCAGTTATTTTTCTCCTTCCTAGTAGCTGCTGCAGTGCTGTGTTTTGGCTTTAGTCTGAGAACAATGCTGATAACACACCAATGTTTTAGCTGTTGCTCAGTAGCACTTACCCTGATCAAGGACTTCTCAGTCTCATGCTCTGCCAGTGAGGAGCGGCATGGGAGGACGGGAAGAAGCAGAGACAGGACACCTGACCCAAACTAGCCAAAGGGATATTTCATACCACAGCACGTCATGCTCAGTATATAAACTGGTGGGTGTCACCCGGAAGGCTCAGTTCGGTGCTCAGGTCGGGCTGGATATCGGTCAGCAGACGGTGAGCAATTGCATTGTGCATCACTTTTGTTTGCTGTTTTCTTTCCCCTTCCCTTTTTAGTTTTGTATTCTCTCCCCTTGTTATTTCCCTTATCATTATTATTATTATTGGTGGTAGCAGTAGAAGTTTTGTGTTATACCTTAGTTACTGGACCGCTCTTATCTCAACCCGTGGGAGTTACATTCTTTCGTCCCTCCAGGAGCAAGGGGAGGAAAAAGGTGGGGTGAGCTAGCAGCTGCGTGATTCTGAGTTACCATCTGGGCTTAAACCACAACAGTGGGGCATGAAGGGTTGAGATAAAGGGCTTAAACCACAACAGTGGGGCATGAAGGGTTGAGATAACGACAGATCTGACCAGAGTGTGTCTAATCATATTTGTGACAAGCATTCACTGTTTCAGATTAACAATCACTCATCACAATGTTGATTTATTTGCTCTCAGAGTTGTTGCACTTGATCTCGGAGTTTCAGCGTGTTGTACCTTACTTACAGCCAGTACTTGCTGTTTTAGTGTTTATCAGTTTTGGGGCCTGAACTAAGGTCATTGTTTCACTGTACTTTATGATAATGGCTTGTGATACAATAGAATTATTGATCATGAAACTGATCTGGTATGCATTCTCAGCATGGCCATCACCTCTATACTTTGGGAGGCATGTAATGGAATTAATAATTACACTTCTTTTTTCCCCCCCACAGGGGGCCAATCTACGAAGGAGATATTCTCTCGCACCTCCCACTCCCCCACTAGGCTATTTACAATGGCATTTGAGAATTTTAAAGGTTTTGGATGTCTTCTGAGTACCCTTGAAACCTGCCTGCTGCTTGTGCTGGTGATCAGCTTGTTGCTGCATATGTTTTACCCATGGCCACGCCACCCTGAGAGCACTCGATCTTGTCCAATCTCGGAAGCTAAGCAGGGTCAGGCTCAGGTCTTGTCTAAGGTTAAACAGCTATCTAAGAATACCACCAAGAGATCTTCCCCGAGACTGGACAGTCATGAGTGGCAGGGTGTGTGGTATTGTATGGGCAAGCACTTAAGCCAGTTGGCCCCTCCTGTGCATTGGAACTTCACTGCTGAACAACTGCAAAATCCAGAAAAATTAGTAGAACACTTAAACGAGGTGTGCTGTCGTCCTGGCAATACCAGAGAGGAACAAATCACTGCAACGTGCTGGGGCTTGGCCTATGCCTACAGAGCCCTGCTCTGTAAGGAGCAGGAAAGAGATGTCTCTGGATCTGATGGCAAAGCAACAGACAACACGACTGCTCCATCCCCAGAAATCACTCCAACCCCACTGAAAGACACTGCGGCGACTGCAACCCCACCGAAAGACACTGCAGCCACTCCAACGCCAGCAGAAGGCACTGCAGCTGAACCAAAGGACCAATCCGTGCTAGCATCAGTTGCCTCTATAATCAGGAGGAGATGCAAAAAAAAAGCAACTCGTGTAGTGAGGGAAGATGAAGACTTAATGCCATTACTAGAGGGGGCAACATCTGAACGAGAAGAAGACGAGGAAGACGACGAGGAAGACGACGAAGACGAGGAAGACGAGGAAGACGAGACTTATCAATTCCTGTCACTGACTGAGTTGCGGAATATGCGAAAAGATTTCACCCGTCTTCCAGGTGAGCACATTATCACCTGGTTGCTCCGGTGCTGGGACAAGGGGGCCGACATTTACAAACTAGAAGGTCTGCAAGCCAAAATGCTAGGATCACTTGCTAGGGAAGGGGGAATTGACAGAGCAATTGCAAAAGAGAAACGAGTCCTCAGCCTTTGGAAGCGGCTCTTGGTAGCTGTGAAGGAAAGGTATCCCTATGAAGACGATGTTCTACATCACCCAGGCAAGTGGGCCACCATTGAGAAAGGCCTCCAGTACCTGAGGGAATTAGCCATTCTAGAGGTGATCTATCATAGGCTGGATGCCAGGAATGCATCCATAGATCCAGATGAAGTCAAATGTACACAACCCATGTGGCGGAAATTTACACGAAGTGCGCCACTATCATATGCCATCTCATTGGCACTGGTCTACTGGAGGGATGAAGAGGCACCAACAGTGGATGAAGTGTGTTGTCAACTAGGTAACTAAAAAAGTTAGATGAAACCATTTATAGTTAGCTGTCCTTGACTATATTCAGTGTGCAAGGTATTTTGGAAAAACAAAGAAATTGTGGTATTGTGGAAAAACAAAGAAATCGGTCTTTTTAAATGCTGATGGTACAGGCCTGTTAGAGGTTATCTTCTAAGTAAAATACTATCAACTTAATACTCAAAATTCATGCACCAAAATTCAATTATATTTCAGTGACAGAAGTAACACTCATCCAGAAGAGATGAAGATGCAGATGCAGAATAATTTCCTGTCAACTGTGTTATTAAAAACAGAAGACCTATCCAAAGCATACTTTAGCAGCATTACCAAAGTATTAGATAGTTATAAAAATTATCTATCTCTCCCTTCCTAATTATTTATGCCTTACGGAGACTGGCCCCAAACTGAAACTGTAATTGTGAAGTAAAATTAGCATATAAGAATGCCACTAACCTGACATTTGCACTTGATATGAAAATAACCTGATTCTTACTACTCTTATCCAGTTTGTTCACCACGTGTCCTTGAAATTATTTAAATGTATTTTCCATAAAGGATTAGTCCACATGCTCTCATTAGTAAGCAACAGAGCAAAATAATATGAGGAGTTCCACTATTTGGACCTTTGCTTTAACAAATAAATGGGTATGTAAAGCAAACAAAATTCTTCAAAAACAAATCATATCCTCTTTCAGTTTTTGAGGTCCAACCAGCCTGTACTATCTTATTTCATTGTTTCAAATATCAAATAATTCTAAGGTTTAAACGAATCTTAGGGCATCCAATTCAAAATGGTGAACTGTGAGTTTAATTTAATTCAGACACTAACACAAAGTCTCCACTTACTACATAGTGGTGTGAAGAAAGCACATAGTCACGTAGTTGTAGTCCATCAAAATTTAAATTATAGCTTGTTATAAATTTCAGTAAATGCTGTTAATACACATCAAAGGTAATACTCATAAACTCTGGTTAAACTGCTGAGTATCCTCCATTCAAATAAGGTGGGAAAAATGAAAAATAAACCTGAAGAGTTGTGCTTGCCCAGGGAAACACGATGCAACACGTATTTTTTATTTCAATTCACTTACAACACTTTAGACAAGCACTAACACTAGAAAAAGTACTTCCAACATAGATGCCTTGTTTTTAACGGTTGTAAGGCAAAAAAGCTTTTTCCTTTTCTCCTTGTAAATAAAATCAGAATACGGGTGCTAGAATGTAGGCTTAGAATAGGTTTCTCACTAACATATTGTGAAACACTTCTTAGAGTAGTACTGGCCAGAAAATTGCAGTGACTGAATATTTACTATTGTTCACTTGGCCGAGGTCTGTAGTTAGTGAGGAGCATGCTCCTGTGGCAGGCTACAGCCAAACTGTGCTTTGGGTCTGAATTACATCTTTCTCCTTTAGCTGTAAAAGGAGCCAAAGGAAAACAGTTTTGTTAGGCTGAAATAAGGTGCTGTCACCAGCCCTAGCGTGTACGCAAAGTGACATGAAACTACTCAGTAGGATGAAAAACTGCACATCGGGGCTCAGAAACAGACTTAGCATCTGTAGGTAGCAGGCTGTGGCTCCTAGCAGATCTGTGTGCTGGGGATCACCCAGCAAGACAAAGTTGATCCAGCCAAGGCAGGAGCACACAACTGCACTTTGAGAAACCAGAGCATACGACAGGCATTTTGTGTTGGCATTATACGTTTAAACCAGCTGCAGGAGGGCAGAAAATACCTAATGACTGACACATCAACATTGTCTGAACAAACCTGAACTGGTGGAATGAGTACGTAGCAGACTGACACCTGCAATTAAGTGGCTGCAACACAGTTCAACCTGCCATCAGAGCCCTAATAGCAATTCTTCTATATTACTGAATTATGCCTCTGGTCTCACTCCAGCAACCAGAAGGTTATGGAGGCCTGCCCTTCCACTGTCTCTCCCCTGAAAAGCAAAGGGTGTGTGCACAGAGCAGACACATAAGAATAATAAAGGTTTTAAGTCTCATATCAAGATTTCAAGTGGACTGTACTAGTTTCTAGTTTCTTTTTCCTGACTTACAATTTAAAAAGCTTGGGGAATGCTGGGCTAAACAACTCCTCACACTGTGCTTTTACTAAGAAGAAAGAATAACCCAAGCCGGTGTGTCAGGTTCTGGTTCGGGTCAGCCCTCCGGTGGCACCTCAGCCTGGGCCTCCCTATGATCAGACCGACGCCCCCAGCCGCTTTCGGGGGCACCCACACGGCCGGGACAGCACCAGCCACCGCGCCGAGCTCACCGGCCCCGGGCGCCCAGGCGCCGAGCGGGAGAGAAGCCACCCTCCCCAAGCAGGACCGGGGAGCGGAGCGACCCCACCACCACCACCACCACCACCACCACCACCACCGCGCCAGCCAGCCCTCGGCCGAGGGACGCGGGCCTGTCAGCGCCGTGAGGACCCTGCCGCGGCCCTCAAGGCCGAGGTGAGCTGGTGGCGGCCCCGCCGCGGCCCTTGCTGAGAGGCCGGAGCCCGGGACAAGGAACCGGCGCGCCGCTCGCCGCCACGGGCCGCGCTGTGGGTTCCTACCGGCGGTCACGGCCACAGTAACAAAGTCCAGGGTACGCCGGTCGCCCGCCAGGCCCTGGCGCCCCTCTCGCCTCCCCGACGGGAGAAGCGAAAGCGAAAGCAGCCGGGCGGCCACCGGTGGCGGCCCGGCAGCCACCAAGCCCTTCTGCCCGTCCTGCCAGTTGCCCGCTCCCTCCGTTCCCTGCTGCTCCAGCCCCCCCCCGCCGTGTGCTCCCGTCCCCCTCGACCGCCCGCGGCCTCTCACCGTGTGGCGGCAGCGGCCGAGATGACGACCGCGGGACGCTGTGCGGTAGCCGGCGAGCAGGGCTTCCCCTCAGCGGGAAGCGGCCCAACCCCCGCCCGCCGCACACAGCCGCCGCGCTCGGGGCGGTTTGCCTCATGTTTATTTCCCTCCGTGACTCTCGGTGAGGGGCGGGAAGGGGAGGAGGGAGAGGAAGAGAAGAAGAGGCTGACTTGGGCAGGGGGGGAGTACCTGGTGTCTGGGATAAGGGATCTTCGGGGGTGAAAAGTTAGATTTCGTCTTCTAAAGGAGGGTCAAATGTTCCCACCATCATTTAAAGAACTTCTGTTAAGGTCCTCCCTGCTACCAACATTTTGCTTGCCTTGACACATAATGTAGGCAATACCAAATTGTTAGGTGAGGCCCTGGGGATAAAGGGCATCGATGTGTAAAGGACAAACACTGACCAGCCTGTGGCAGTGAGGCTTCTTTTTTCCCTCTGTAACCTTCAGTTTCTAACAGCAAGGTCCTGCACCTGAGCTCTGGGGCCCCCAACATAAGAAGGACATGGACCTGCTTGAGGAAGTCCAGAGGAGGCCATGAAGATGATCAGAGGGGCTGGAGCACCTCTCCTATGAAAACAGGCAGAGAGAGTTGGGCTTGTTCAGCCTGGAGAAGAGAAGGCTCTGGGGTGACCTTATGGCAGGCTTCCAGTACCTAGAGGGGGCCTACAGGAAATCTGTAAAGGGACCTTTTACAAAGACATATAGCAATGGGATAAGGGGGAATGTATTTAAGCTGAAAGAGGGTAGAATTTAGATTCTTGGAATACAGAATGACAGAGCCATTAGGTTTGGGAGGAACCTCTGGTGATCAGCTAGACTAGCAGCCCCCCTGCACTATCTGCATAGCTCACAGTAAGTGATTCACTGACAGTTCTGAAAAGGAAGGAATTGTAACTGAAGATGTGTCAGAAATTTGTTTTTTGTATGGTGTTATTCTTGGCCTAGAAGTGACCTAGACAAAAATACTGAATCATTACTTTGCTGTTGTAAATTAAGATAAGGACAGATCACTTAAATAAACTCCTTTGAATTGCTTTGTAAGATCTCTCTTGTAAAAGTACTCCTCTGAAGACAGTCGAAGTGGAGGTTGTACATTCAAGATAAAGCCTCAAAGCCACACCTGGAGTCTGAGGGAGGATGACTGCCATGAGGCAGGGCTAAAGAGGACCTGGACATTATGCTACATTTTCAGCTGCACATGAGCTTTCAGAACAAAGCTTTTGCTAGGCATATGCTGGAGCAAAACCAGAAGAACATCAAATACAACTGGAATGGGCACTACTCTTGTTTATAGAACTAATAAAACCATTATCAAAATAATGCATTCAATGTTTGGGCACTTACACTTCAACAGGATGTTAAATACTGGGAAGAGCCCAGAAGAAAGTTATGAAAGGTGTGGAAAACGGGTGTTAATGTGAGATATTTAAAAAGCACAATCCAATGCAGGTGGAGAGGTATGTTTGCCATAAGCATACTAGTACTTGTCTGGGTTAGAGATACTTGAGGAGTAGAGGCAGTGTTGGCTTTCAGAAAACTACAAAAGAAGCAAAACTAAATATATATACATATATATAAATATATACTAGAAATATGGCATATCTTAATTGGCTGTAGGATTAAATTGTCTATGAATCTGTTTTGAAACAGTACAGAATTTTCAGTTTATGAAACTGAGATTTTTTTTTGAGGTATACTGTAGCTCAAGCATACACAGCTGCAATTTTGATGCAGAATGCATTGGCAGAGGTTCTGTGTGGTCTGATATGGAGGTGGTACCATTATAATATTATACTCAGTCTTTCTTTTCCTTAAACTTGATGACTTCAGAAGAAGACCAAGAAGTCTACATACACAGCAGCAAAAGAAGGAATAGGATCCCAAGGATATTCCCAAAAAGAAAGGGTTGGAGAGTTTATCTGAGTTCCAACAGGCAATATCTGAAGAGCTCCTGGCACATTTCATTGTGAACACAATGTTCATGCCTGACTGTCCAGTTCTACTACCACTGCTAATGTGGTCTCCCAGACAACCCAGCAGTGACTTCAGAGAAGTCCAAATTTCCTCAAGGAAAAAATGACAATGCAAAATGCCATGTCACTCATGTAACAATCATCAAAGGAACAAGAGTTCCACCTTCAGGTCTGGGAAAATACTACCTCTGATGGCAAAAGATATCTCAGAAAAAAAAAAAATAAAAATTAATGCGTAGATGGAGTTTGACTTCCTGATTACAGACAGAGTCAGACTTGTATTGCACATCTGTGATCAGTTTTGAGTGGTCTGTTATAGTTCTGACCACTGTGTGTATTTCTGTATCTTTATCACAGAAAGTGTTCTGTATCACCAATAAATAATGTAGAAGAAAATCATGGGGAGTCCTAGAAAGGCAGAGAAATGTTGTACATCGACTAAGGAAGAGCTTGCAGCAGTTTCTTTTTCCACTCATAGTTTTCAGATAAATGGATTCAAGACCAGGATCCAGATGTGCCATTCACTGAACATGCACAGCTCTCTCCTCAGCAATCTTTCCTTATACACGACTCTCAAATAACTCATGCTGGGGTTGGTATTTCAGTGAGGGCTGTTCAATAAACACAGAACTTCCCAGATACTTTACGTTCCAAAGATATATCTTTTTCCCACTAGAGCATTTACAAATTCTATTGCCTTTTTCGATGCATTATTATTACAGATACACTGATTTCACAGTCAAAAATCTTGTGCTGGCAAGAACCGATAATAAAGTTTCCATTGTGTCATGGAAAACAGCCATCACTCTGTTACAGTGAATATTGCTCTTTCTCAGAGTCTTTCAGAAGCACAAATCTGTTTAAAATGAAATCCCCTTCTAGCATGCATCCCTGACAAAAAAAAAATCCAACTCTTTCAGTAACTCTTGAGAGGTATTTTGTGGAATATGTGGCAGCATTTTCTGAAACGGACTTCCTGATGTGAGTAAAATACTGTGGGTTGGTTTGTGGGAAACTATTTGCTACTGTTAATAAAAATTGTGCTGTAGTTTTTTATTGGGTGGACTTCTGATCCAATGCCCTTTTAATGTACCTTGCTGCAAAACCAACTCAGATGTGGTTGAGGATCATTTCTATAGTACCGCAGAAAGTAAGCCTCCCAAGTGGTAATGAAACAGAAGAGGTTTGTTATACAGAAACATATTTGCAGTAGCAGTAACATGGAATAGGGTGTAAAAGGAGGAGAGGAAGCAATTAGAGCAAAGCAGATTCGATTTTAAAAGAACACTTCTGTACTGGTTGCACTGGTTATTTGTGTCTTTTCCAGTGTATTCACAAGTCTCACACTGTGACCTCGATGCACGAATGGTTAACAGTAGCTGCCATTGTTCTGCCCCTGCAACAGTGGTGCAGAAAAGGCTATACAGAGAGAATGGCAGATACAGAAACTATCTACAGCACCTGGTCTGCAGTAGGATTTCCCTACTGATGAGCAGGGTGAAATAAGCATTGCTAGCTGGTGGGAGCTTGTGTTGCCATCGCTTGGGGAAGGTGCTTCTGTAGCACTTTGCCTGGGTAGCCTTAGCTATCCACTGCTGGCATAACTGAAGGAGGTAAAACATTAAAACAAATGTTTCTGGGGTTGTATCCCTACCTGGAAAATTCCCCATAAACAGAACTTCATCAAGATCCATGTTTTTTTTCTCCCAATGTCTTTTCATTCCCACTGGAGCTGAACAGGATTTCTCCTGCTCAGAACTATCGATCAGCTTTCAGTATGTGCTGTAGCAGTGGTGTATCAGATATTTTCAGTTTCATTTGTAAGGTCACCTAAGCAGTTTTACTTTACTTTAGAAGAATGTTGAGCTAACTCAGTTAAAAGGCTTCTAGTGGCACTGTCATTTGTCCACATTCATCTCTAGTTATAGGACTGAAACACATTGGCATCACTTTAATATAAATCCCTCCAAGTTATTCTAACTAAAAAACCACCTGTTTCCATACAGAGCAGTTTTACCAGCTGAAGGAAACTGATCCATCTTTTTGTTTTTTTACACAAGGCCTTAGAAATTCTGTATCAAATCTTTGTGTCATTCAAGTCAATGGTAAGATTTCCCTTAAATTTATCAGGGTGAGGATTTTGTTCTTTGTCTGGGTTCCAATGCCTCCTGACGCAAGAAAATACAAGCTGTATTCAGGAGGAAAAGGAATAGAAGGTGGCAAATCAGCTGAAGAAACATTCATTTATCCAGTTCATCTACCATACTTAACAGTAAATAACCCTTTTGTAAAATCATTCAGCCCTGAAAGAGGGATTCACAATGTCTTTTAATTGCAGACCAAAGGTATAATATTGTCAACTTTCATTCACAGTTAGTTTACATCCACATGTTTTTAAAACCATTTTTAATTTTTCTCAGTTAAGAAGGTGATTGTGGTTCTGCTGCTTCTCTAACACGTACAGATCATGAGCAACTGCCTGTTCAATAAAAACTTAGGATATTTCAGAAACAAAATTTAGAATACTCACGCTCATCTGGAGTTCTTTCTCACTGGCTTGATGTTATGACTCTACTTTTCAGATTTCTAGAGTTCTCTTTGCCTTCTCTTTTCCTCTTTATGGGATAACTAGAAAGACACAGTTCAGCTTGCCAAAAAAGCTCCTTGTGCTGAGAGGTGGTGCAAATAGACATGAAGATCTGTATGCTAGCTAGTTTGGGTTATGGAATATTTATTGGATATTGTTTTTCTGCAGATAAAAAGTTTATCAGACTGTCTGATTTAAAATCCATGTCGTACTCCAAGGCTTACACCAAGATCATCAGGAATTTATCTGTCTGTATAATGATCTATTAAGGCTACTTCTGGTTTAAAGGCCATCTAACTTTGGATTGTGCCCAATAGTGGCCACAAGTGCACAGTGAGATTGGAGTAAGACTCAGACAAGCGTATGTGCTAGTTCCTCCTTAATGTCTTCAACTTGTTTTTACATTGGGGGTTTCCTGAACCAGATGTGGTTTGTTTCCTTAGTAACCCCACTGGGTCTCTCTTTCAGATGCTCACCCAGTCTCCCCTAGGAAAAAGTAAAGCTTCTTTGGGCACACAGTCCTTTGAGTCCTTTGGGTCTTCACAGGTCTGCTGCTGTCTGCTTAAAGAGGCTGGCTCTTTTGACAGTTGATTGCTGTCCAACGT